AGTATATGTTTCACCGCAGCCCAATGTTCTCTTCCTGGATTACTTTGATATCTCGCTCCCATGCCAACGGCGTAGCTAATATCAGGCCTTGTGCACAGCATTGCATACATGAGACTTCCTACTGCCGAAGCATAAGGAACTGTCTTCATGTCCTCTATCTCCTTAGTCGTCTTGGGAGACAACTCCTTAGATAAAGGTACTCCATGTCAGGAAGGTAATGTACCTCTCTTAGAGTTCTGCATACTGAATCTGGCCAAGACAGTATCTATATATGAAGACTGGGATAAGCACATCATTCTTTTCTCACGATCACGAATGATCTTGATACCAAGAATGTGTCATGCTTCTCCCAAGTCCTTCATATCAAACTGCTTAGACAACCACACCTTTACGTCTGACAACTCCTTCTTGTTGTTGCCAATAAGAAGTATGTCATCCACGTATAGCACAAGAAACACCACCACGCTTCCACTAATCTTCTTGTATACACAGTGCTCATCCGGACATTGGGTGAATCCATATGACTGGATTACCTCATCAAACCGAATATTCCAAGATATTGAAGCTTGCTTCAGTCAATAAATGGACCGATTATACTTACAAACTAAGTGCTCATGCCCTTTTGCAATGAATCCTTCTGGCTGCTACATATAGATGTCTTCCTGAAGGTTCTCATTAAGGAAAGCCGTCTTAACATCCATCTGCCACACTTCATAATCCATATGAGTGGCTACAGCTAAGAGAATCCGAATGGATTGGAGCATAGCTACTGGCGAAAAAGTTTCATCATAATCGATACCCTCTTTCTGGGTATAACCTTTCGCAACAAGCCTAGCTTTAAAGGTTTCCACCTTTCCATCTGATCCCCTCTTTCTCTTGTAAACCCACTTGCATCTAATGGGACGTATCCCATCGGGTGGTTCTACAAGATCCCAGACCTAATTGGTGTCCATAGACCCCATCTCAGCTTTCATTGCAACCTTCCACAAATTTGCATCTCTATCTTGGAGTGCCTCGTCATAAGTTCTTGGGTCCGATTCTAGTTCTTCTGGAACTGAGTCCGATGACTCTCCAAGACCTATCCATCGGTCGGGTTGTGTAGAAACCCTCCCACTACGACGAGGTACCGTATGTACTGGCACACTATCAGTGTTACGTGTTGCAGTACTATGTGATGTATCTACTTGCGCACTCGGTGGGGAACTATCGATATCTCTCCCTAACTCCTCTAGGATAAGTTTACTACTGGGCTTATGATCTATGATATAGTCTTCTTCCAAGAATCTAGCATTCGTACGAACGATCACCTTTTGATCCTCAGGACTATAAAACAAACCACCTTTCGTTTCCTTGG